TGATCTTTGTGGTTTAATTTTTTTTTATCCTGATTTAATTTTTTTTTGATCCCTCACCCCCACAAGGGCCCTACCGACATGCCCGGGCACTCGCTCATCGGGCAAAGACAGGCAGTGGGGCCTCCGTCTCCACCTACCAGAATGTCGGCGGAGGCGTACGACGAGATTTGAGTGTGCGGACGTGTTTCACCTTCCAGACTCGGCAAGAGTCACACAGTCACGCGGATATGCTGTGCACAAAAACTGCAACACCCTGCAACTATGCCGACGAAGGAACTAAGGCAACCCTGTGGATGATTGGGTTTTGCGAGATGTTGGAAGAGCGAGCCGAAGCTAACTGCTCTGTCGGATCTCCAATTCCTGCTGCCGAATTTCGGATCCAGGTTTTGCACAATGATAAATTGATTCGCTCGAACGGAGAGCTTGCACTTTCCTTTGATCCCACCTGTGTATATAGCGGCGATTGCTGACGGCTAGCATTTGATCAACACAGCCTTTTCACAAGCCGGATGGCAGAAGAAGCAGGGCCGACTACAAATGCGGCGGATCAGGAGAAGGATGCGAACTCAGAAAGGGTTTAAGATAGTAGGATCCCTGTTATCAGAACCCCAAAATAAGGTACCCCTTATTTTCGGCAACTCCCAGTTGCTGGCCTCTTCGCTTCAAGTCGAGGCCAGCGGCCTTAGAGATGCTGGGACTGGACCTGTCGGAGCCGCGTCTGCCGATGCCAAGGCAGTGTTCCTTTCCTTGTGACTTCGCTTCGGACATCTTCGGACTTTCGGACTGCAGGGAAAGCACGAACTTTGGCAGGTGCTGGAGCGCTTCCAGGCCTGTGACGTGGCCAGTGGCGTCTTCAAGTACGTGCAGGTGCAACCGTGCCCAAACTCCGTGCTCGGCTCCGCATGCGCAACTCAAGCCCGCGAGCGCCGCTCCGCTACTTGTGGTCACCATTGCTACCTCACCGGTAAGGTGTCGCTGTAATCTGCTGAAGTCCAGATTTACTGCATGCTGTGTCCTCCCTCCACGACTCAAAGTTGGGATATTTAGGATGCTCCCATGGTGACTTTTGGTGACCTGGAAGAATCCTTCCATCCCCGCAGGTGCATGCGATAGCGCCAGATGGAACTCGCAAGGCCAGGCCCCCTTTGCCCCAGCAGATTCCGCGCACTAGAACATACTAGTACCATAATCGAGTCCACCATGATCTACAATACGATACTGTAATCATATACGATAGCTAGGTAGCTTTTATAACGTGTCCTTTTGGGCTCGTTCTTAGGAAAGCGGCAGAGGTGATCGTCCGCTCAGCTCCGGGCTCCTACCACGCGGACGTGGCGGAGCTTCTCTGCCAGGCCGGGCCCGGGTTTAGGGATGGGCTCCCGGATTGTAGCATTACAGTATATCATGGGATATCACAGAATATCATAGGATGTCATAGGATATCATGGTATATCGTAGTAGATCGTGGTTGTTTAGAGCACATCGTAGTAGATGATGGTCGACTATAGCTCTTCATGGCAGCTCCCTGCTTTCAATGAAGCCGCTTTTGCTCGAGCCGGCCATGGAGCAGCCAGGAGTCCGGGGTGTGAAACTCTTGGCCCCCAGTTCAGTCGTGTTTGGAAGAGGAAGCCTTGCTTGCAGCTCGGTAAAGCTCCTTCGAACGGAATGCCAAAGGAGAGCAAACGTGCCATCTCAGATCCGGCATAGATGCACTGTCTGCTCCGCGACAGTGACAATTTTGCTTTCGAGACGAAGTCAATCCCAAAGATACTCAAAAGGCCGAGGGCGTGATGTGAGCGACGAAAGTGAAGATGCTGTTGCCAAGGTGCTGCCCTTCGTGGCAGCTGCTGTTTTCGGCCTGCTGGCTTTCACCCCCGCCGTTCTTGTGGGATCGGCAGCGTTGTCATGGTCAGTTCTCCTCGCCGGGAGCGTAGTGGGTCTGCTGTACTTCAGTGTTGCCCTGCCTCTGCTGATCACGGTGCTTACCCTGGGCGGAGTTCTCGTGTTGCCTTTGCTGGCAGCCAACTTCTTCGTTGCGACGTTTATAGCCTCTCTGGTGGCAGCAGGAGCTGCAGGCTTGCTGGTCTGGGTGGCACTGGGAAACCCTCTGCCCGCCCTGCCTTTTCAGGACCTTCTCCCTTGGTCCGGAGAAGCCGAGCCCGAAGCGGCCGCTGAGGCGAAGTCCGAGGATCCCTTCCAAGACTGGGATCGTCGCTTTGCGAACTCCTTCCGCCGAATCCGACTGGTGGACTTGAGTGCAGACTCCAAGCTGGCAGCTATGCGGGCATACATTGCCCAGGCACGGATTAGAATTTTGCTGACAGAGCAAGAGCATGAGCACTCATGAGCATGAGCAGGTGCATCCTGCATTAGAGTCTCCGTGTCCAGTCCAGATCCGGGGGTAGCCCAATGCATTTGACCCGTTTCGATAGTGCTTGTCTGATGGTGGTACTTGTACAGAGGCTTTCTTGGATCTCTTTCTATGAGCCGAGTTATGGAGAAGCACAGACTTCATCCGAATTATGGGCCGACAGAAAGATCATCCTTCAACCGCTAGCTAATTGAGATATGTAATTTGGCCATTGGCTTCTGTCAGCCGAGATAAGAACAAGCCCGAATCCTGTCGAAAAACGGTCTTGGGCAACGAGACCGACGACAAGGATGTTCTGTGAAAACTGAACTTCCCCAGCTCTGAAACTCTGAAATCTTGAGATAGGTATGGCCGAAACTGGCAAGCCGAGCCGGACAGGACCCTAAAACCAGTAAGATGTCAACGCACACTTTCCGGTTCTTAGCTTGTCAGATGTAAAGGCAGTTCTGGAAATTCTAGAGATGCCAACCTGCTGCAGGAGGGGCTGCCTGTCAAGACTGGTGGCCGCAGCAAAGCGGAGGTTTGGGCAGAGCTGAAAAGGGAGGTGGCCCAGCGTGCTCTGAAGGAAATTAAAGGTGAACAGCCGACAAGTTGAGCCAGAGCATCGCAGCTTGTACAGTCTGCGTCATCCTTTGTCTGAAGCGGGATGGCATGAAGGTCCGAGTCAAAGCTGATCCACGTGTGGCAATGCGATGCCTGACCTCGCAGAACACAGCCACTGTCCAACGCCGCACCGACGGATGAGACAGGAAGCCATCAACATGCAGCTGCACAACAAGAAGATCTGCTAGCTCAATCATGCTGTGTAGAAGAAAAAAGCCTGGCAAGTCGCCCTTGAGCTTGCAAGTTTGCTGCAGATCCGTCCAGCTCAATGTTGCAACTGTGCAGAGACTGTACCACGCTCAGCCGAAGAGTACGCAGATCATGATGCCATGTTCGCGTGCAGGCCTTGCGAGACAAGGGGTTGCAGTACGAGATTCCGGGTGGAGGCCGAATCCGGCAACGCTCTCAGATGCAGGCCTTGAGCTGTGCCCCGTCACATGGATCTCCGCCATGATGTCTTGCACTCTTCAGAAACATATGCCAAAGCTGGATGTGGTTACAAATTTCTTGTTGCTTCGGGCTGTGGTGCAAGGCGTGATGATGAAGCCAAAGAGATTGAGATCTACGGGCACAGCAAGGTGCCATTAATGGTCGCATATCATGTCACGTCATAGTAAAGAAAGCTTTGCTGAGGGCTTCGGGATGCCCGATCACTCCATCTCTGCGGCCATCTGTCGCGCGAGTTTCCCGGATTACAAGGCCCAGTTGCACATCCAAGTTCATCTCAGGCATGTGCAATACGCTCTAGTCCTCCAGCCAGGCACCCACACGTCCCCTCAAACAAGACAGCTAAGCACTCACAGAGCGACCACCCACGACACATCGCATAGACGAGGCGCAGCAGCCGAAGCTTTTCGGATGCTGGTTGCGACTCACCCACGAGATCCCATACTCAATTCGAAAAGAAAGTGTTGCTTCGCTTAGAGCTTTCAGTACAGGAGTGGAACTGTATGGGCAGGACTACGGCCTGGTACAGCAACACTTCACCAGCTGGGTGTTAGCAGTCCAGCCTGCCATAGGATTACAGGAAGAGCGGGCGAGGGTTGCCGTGTCATCTTGGGATCTGGTCGAGACTGGCCTCATTGTGGCGGGGTGGTTGAAGCAAAGTCACTACGAAGATCTAGATATCAGCCTTGAGTTGAAGCCTGCGGATGAGAGTGTTGGCTGCAGGTCACTCATCGAAACACTGGCTACTGACATTCTGCTCAATCCAATTGGATGCACTAGAATCACTAGAATCCGAGCAGTGAGCGGGAATTCGACTATCTCTGCGAGTCGCAGACAGAACAGCTTCCTTGGGAAGTGCGTTAGCTGCCGTTGTCTGGCAAGGTCAGACGTGTTTTGTTTTGCCCCTCGAGCCCTGCGATGTCACGTGAATGTTGGAGCAATTACGAAGATCCGTCGCAGGTCTTCCAAATGCTCGCGAGCTAATTTGTCAGTTCGGCTGAGCTGTCGGAACTCCAATTCCGATCTTTCCCAACTGCGTGATGGCTGGTCGCGGAATCTGCTGCCGGTGAGGATCACCTTACCAGCAAGAAGCAATGTGCTCGTAGTTTTCCTAGAGCTTGCAGCTCGGCAGCCGCACACGAAAGCCTCGGAACGAAAAGAGAATCCAAAAGGTGATTTGTGCCTTGTGCAAGAAGACCGGAGGTGCCCTCTTGGCAGCGAAACGAAGAGCAGTGCGCACAAATAGAAGCAGCAGCCCGTAGAGACTTTCTGAGGGAGGCAAGGTTTTCCGTGGCTTCCGCAGCTCCAGCCTTGGCTCGGAGCCGTGCCAGCACTCCACTGGCCGATGGTCGCTTGTTGTCTGTGATCCTGTGTGATGCCTGAGAGCAATGCAGTCTCCAGGCTGAAGGTGGTGGAAGTGCAGCTTGGGGCGATGTGTGTGTGTGTGTGTGTGATTTTGTGACATTTTCCAAGGTACCTGTCCTATCTGATGTCCATGTTCGTGGTACAGGGAGCAGCTCAGAGGTTTTGTCCATACCGCTACGTGATGCTGCAGGTGCGGGGTCAAGGGACCAAGGGCGCGCAGCGAAATCGATTGGAGATGTCTGGCTCAGGTGCATGCCTGTAATGGCGAATCCCAGTCTGCCTGGAGCGTGGCCGGGTTGGCCTTCAGAGATGACACGGGCAAGGTCGTCGAAGTTCCGGCCACCCGCAGCAGCGCTTACTTGTACCGGGGGAGAGCTCGGATTCCTGCGAGCTTCGGCTTCACGGGAACGGAGCCTTGGAACGTCTTGGATGGAAATCCTTTTACCATCCTACAAGTCGACGAGACGTATTCCTTGGACGGCGAGATCGCCGATGGCCGTGACTTGTCCAGGCTCGTGTCTCAAAGTCCGATAAAGGAATGTCAGGGACCCGTGAAGGAAAATTCTAAAGGAAGCCTGGGAATCCTTGAAAGCACCATGAAAAGGAATCATAGGGACCTTCATGTTGCTTCCGGCAGCATTTCTTCAGTGTGCAGAACGACTGTGAATGTTCACGATTTCCTGAAGACACATGCATGGAAAGGGAGAGTTTGCTTGCACTGCTTCCGGAGGCCAACGCTGGCTGCGATGTTGGTGATCGATCTGCAAGTGTTGCACTGAGGTGTCGTAGCTCCAGCAGAGGTATGTCGTAACCAGAGCTGATCTTACTTAGGTTGCACAACAAGTCGTTTCCTACACGATGATCTCACGCAGAGATGGGCACGATGACACCCATCCTAGAAGATGGACCCTTCGAGGAGCGGCTTCAGTTCACATCGCCTGACCAAAGCGGTCGCACCTCAGCTGCCAAGGCTCCAACGATTTGACCTCCTGGGCAAACCTGAGCTCTTACGACCTGGAGACCAAGCCTTTCCCAGAGGCCGGGTAATTGGTCGCAGATTTACAGCAAAATTACATGACATCGATTGCCCCTGCAGGGAGAAGTTGGATTTGGCAAAGCCTTCTCGGGCGACCTGGCTTGCGGTGAGCTGGAGTAAGTATGGTTGGCCTAGGAACATCTAGGAACTATCGCAAAACTGCCACGCAGTTCAACAACCAGAATTTGAACTAGATTCAGTTCATACATCAAAACATTTAGCTAGCATGAGCCACAACTTGTGCTAGCCAGCAAGTCTTACATACCCGAAAACGTGCGGCAGCAACACGCTCGGCCCTAGATACGGGGAGGAGCACGGTGTCGGGTCGCGCACACCGGATTCTGGCAGGAGCACGTGTTTTGAGGCACAAACATTGGTGGCGCAGAGCACGTTGCGAATTTGAATATCGATATTAATATGTATATAATTAGTCCGGGATTTGATTCAAGTCTATTATCTTCATAAATCTTTCTGAAAATATTCGGGATTTGTGATATTCTTCTCATGATTGAAATGTACTACTAATATGTTTGATATCTAGATTCTCGAATTGTTAAAGGATTATCTCTGTTTTTATAGCATGATATAGATTATTTTCAGTTCTCGAAATCTGAGGGATAAATATCTGAGAAAAAAATAAATAAATATATATATATATAAATGAATATATATATATATATATATATTATATATATATATATGTATACACAAGTTATGATATGACATACTGAAAAGTATGATTTTTTTAGGATTTAGAATAAAGATAAAGGTTACGTATTTATTATGGTTTCGGATTGTATATGATGGTTATGGGTACAAAGATCTTGGGATTTCGAGATTGTTGAAATAATTATGGATATTTGATTTTAAGTTCAAGACTAGTAAATACATGAAATCTAAAAAATATTGCGATTTGAATAGTTTCGTGCTGCTTCAAATTCTTTGGACAATTCACAGTTTCGTGCTATAATATATTAGATTTTATTTATTTTTCCTAGCTTTCACTTCATTAATTATCGATATTTGATGTATGATTGGGATTGATATATTGAAAAATTATATCTGTAGTTTGAGATCGTGATGTGGAAATGGAAGTTGTGGGGGGGGGGTGGAGTGGGGGGCGAGGGTCGAAAGGTCGGGAAATATCGTGGAGCTGCGGATGAGAATGGGTCGGAGAAAATCGCGCGGTCTGGGGCGTGCGAACTTGAGAGGAATTATGTGGAGTGGTTGGGGAGGCGTTAAGTGTGGAGAATATCGTGGTATGAGCGTGATGGAATGAGGAAGGTAAATAAATCGCGAGTGATAATCGAGGTCGAGTCGTTTGGAGCTTGGGGCGTATATTTGGGGGAATGTCGTGAAGGTTGAGGATGAAGAAAGGGCGTGGAATGAAGTAAAGGGAATATCTTGGAATATAGGGATTCTTGGAGAATAGGACTTATCGTGAAGAGAGAGATAAGATTGGAGGAAATTATTAGAATAATTAAATTATGTATCGTGTAGGACGATTAAATTTCAAGAAGTCAGATATTTTGGAAAGAAATAATATAAGGTATTATTTTTTTGAATATATATATATAGCTTATAAATAATATCGATGATTGCCAGGCAATGATATTTAAAATAATAAGATATGAATGAGGTCGAAAATATTTCGAGATATAGATAGAGAAGAAAATATTTAAAAAAAATTATAGTTCGGGGTCTGGTATTCTTGCTCCTCCTTATGATATGGTCTGAAAATAGAAGCGGCCATATGAAGGATTATAGCGATTAGATGAAGTTACGGGAGGAAATAGATCGGACCGGGATCTTATATAAATTCATGCAATTCTATTATTTAAAAATCAAAAATCTATATAGAATACCTTAAATCTTCAATTCAATCTAGACCCCGCTTAAATATAGACTAGAATATAAATCGTCCCCCCAGCAACCTTTATCCCCAAACCTTCGCTAAGCTCTTGTCGACTCGCAACCTTATAACCTTTATTATCTCCAGGAGACTGCCTATATTTTCAGATTGACGGGGCCTATATTTCAATTCCCTTTAGTTCGATACTTGAGACTTCCTCCTTCGAGGGAGTGTTATCTCCAATTCGAATACTAATTGGAATTTCCGATTTCCGAGGAAACGCGCTTATATCTATAATATCTGTCTATTTCGAGGGTCCTGATATTTCAACTATCTCTGATTTGAGGGTGTCTCCACTTCAATATAAAATTATCTTCGTATGAGGAGGATCCAATTTGAGACTTCTCGATTTCGAGGATATCGGAAATTTATTTCTTAAATATTGAATTTAATTCTCTCGAGCATCAATTTAAAGCGTCTTCAAGGCGAAAATCTTGCTTCTAATTCGAATTTTCAATTTTTTCTCTAATCGAGGATGCCTGCACTGTAATTCGATAGCCAATTCGAGGCCTTCTTCTTTCGAGATATCTGTAGTTCAAGTCCGAAATATTGCCTCCAATTCGAGGTATCAATTTGAAGCTTATTAGATTTTAAGGGAGCCTGTACTTCAAGCTCGAAGTATTCCCTCCAATTCGAAAAAATATATTTTTTGAAATTTTTTCGATATCGAAGATTAGCTTAAAATCATCTATTCTAAATTCATATAATAAACGGAATGAAGGACCGGGGGAATCTTACTCCATAGATCATGGAAGGGGAGAACCGCGGAGCACTTGACCATATATAGGAAAAGATTTCGTATGTCTCATAGAATTCAGTTTTAATCGAAAATTAAATGAGATAGAAAGAAAATATTTCATTATTATATATAATGATAGAAATATTCATTAAATTTAATGAATAAAAAAGAAATTGGAAAATTTATTTATTTAGAATATTTCTTATTAATAATTAAGATGACAGAATTTCTTTATTTCTTTTAATTATCTTTTCATAAATATATTTCTAATGCAACAAGAATTTTTTTTAAGAATTAGGATTTTTATATATTTCTTTATTAATTTATTATGAAATTATTCTAGTTGCTTGAAGACTATTATTTAAATTTATAAAATGAAATATATTCTGATAAATTTGAAGAAAATATATCAATTAGAAAGTATTTCCTTTAATATTTTAATATATTATTTTATAATATCTAAAAATCGAAATTAATTATTATATATAATATAATATTTCAAATTTAAAATTTTCTATAAATAGAATATTTCTATAAATAGAATGATATATAATATTATCTAGCTCAGAATTTTAAAAAAACAATATTCCAAAAAAGTTCTTTTACTAAAAGAAGAAGAATTCTCTCTAATAAAATGGTGTTGTGCCGCTTGCATCCATGTTTTTGTATGCACCCTGACCCCCCTGGAATGCGGTCGTTTGTCGGCATCTCTTCGAGAAAGCTCTTGTATGCTTGTCTCGAGCTACTAAAATTTTGGTAGCTTTAGGAAATCTCGCGGTCTTAAAATCTTCCAAATTTCGGTAGCTTTAGGGTATTTTTCTCCCGGTAATAAAATCTCGGCGATTTTGGTGCAGGCACAAATATCCTGCTTGTGAGTTGCATGTCCGCTTACGCTTGCACCAGTTTGCCGCGTACTTCTTCCATTGGCTTGCAGCTGTTGCAACTCCCATGATATGAGCATACTTCAATCGGTCCATGATATCAATTTATCCGATCATGCGCATCCGCATGCCGTAGAAGCCACGAGCCGAACTAACTTTATGGTTGCTATATACTAGAACAAGTCAACTATATATGAATCGACTCTATTTCATCAAGATATCTACTCTATAAAGCGCTACGGCTACACACGCTCTATGCGGTGCAGCACGCTTCGGGGCGCTTAGGCTTCAAAATTCTGGAGAAATTTATAGACTATGGTGCGCGAGCCGGCTCGGACTACCCAAGACCCAAAATTTTCGGAAAATTTGGAAGCTCTGGCTGCAGCTTTAAGAGGGTGGGGCCTCTTCGGTGGTCTCGGGCTAGGCCCGGTCTTGGGCTAGGCCCGGTCTTCTAATTTATTGGAAAATTTGGGGATCCGCGTAGCTCGACGCCTCGGTCTCGAAATTTGCAGAAAATTTTCAGTCATCGCTTCTCTAAATTTCTGTGAAAATTAAGACGCCGAAAATTTTCGGAAAATCTAGAGAATGAATGCAGCCTTCTAATATCTTAAGTTCTAAACGCAGAACATGTAATACAGCCATTTCGTAGTCTTGTATTGGAATATCGTGCCTCATCCATTCATGTTGGTTATCGATCACAGGGATTTTCACATATAGTGCTCTGGACCAGCGCTTGCACGCGAAAGTTCAGCAT